TTGTCACCAGTTAAAGATCACCAAATGTGTCATACATGCATGACTTATTTGGTCTGTGACTGGGATAACTAGTTGGCTAGTGGGCATTACTCAAAGCCCTCTCAGCTTGTCCAGGATATCCTTATGGGCCTTTTTAATTTTCAAGGCAATGTGTAATTCTTAATGATGACATAATTAATGTTGAAATATTGAATCCCGACACGATGGCGTGCATTTCGATACTTGGAGTATGTATTATACTATTGTGTCTGGATGTGCCACTTTGATAGTGTGTGTAGAATATTTTAGAAATTTAACAATAAAATAATTGTACATTTCAGAGCTGTTAAGTTTTTGTTAGAGTCTGGAGCTGATCCAAACTTAGGAGATGATTTTACAAGCACTTACCACAAAGCAAGAGAAACAGGTTTAAACTCCCTACAAGGTTCGCTTTTAATTGATTCTTTATTTATTAAATTTATTCAGTTGACATTTAGTTTAAACTAGAAAAAAGGAACTTGCATAGTAACTTGATAAACAAACTATCAACTATCATTTTCTGCAAACACTAAACATTAATATATTATATTTATTTATAGGGTTTTTTTTTTGTTTTTTTTTGTTTTTTTATCTAGTTTAACATGCTTTAACTGCAGTAAGGGGATAGCAGTTTCAAATGTGTTTTTCACCTATTATCCTTCCCCTTCATTGGCAGTGTTTCTTTAATGTTTTTGTGAAGTGTTTTTGTTGCCGAGAGAATTTTAATATAAAAAAATATATATCAAAATTTATAAATATGCCGTAGTTAGATCTAGTCAAACTAGTAATAATGAACGATTTCTGAGAAATAAATCATATGCAATATAAATAATATATTTAAACACTTATGTTTATTTAATGCACTGCTTATTATAATAATCGTGTTTATATTTATACCATAGTGCTTGTGGTAAGAGAGGATGAGTTCTGTGATCGTCTTAGCAACCGTGCCTCATTCAAATGTTGTACAGCTCTACATTATGCCACATTAGTTGATGATACCAATATCTGCCAACTATTGATGGAGGCTGGTAAGTGAGTCTAGCAAATTTTTTTTGTGTTTGACTATATGGGGCAGTAGATGAGTAATTACTTTCTGCTTGTATGGTATGATTTTAAACAAGAAATTAAAAGGGAATATTTAAATTGAGAAAGAAATATGAATGTAATGGTAAAAATAAATTAAGGTTTGATTGCAAATAAATAACTACTCTTGTACTGAAGATTTGAAACTTTCGATTTCTGAATTGGATGGGTCATTTTAAGCTTATAGCTTCAATAAATGACCCAGTATTCAAGCAAGTAATGAGCAAAATAATGTAAAATTAATTTTTTTTGTTAGAAAAAAATTCTAAATTAAAACTGAAAGTCCCAAATACAAAACATTATTTGCATTTATAACTCATTTAGTTTATTACTGTGCTCTCTTATTTGTAGGTGCTAATCCAACACTAGAGAATGAAAATGGCCATTCACCTGCAGACTATGCTAGAACTAGAGAAATGAAGCAACTGATAGAAAGTTATGCAAAGAAGGTAAGACCAAGCTCATGTAGAGGTGCCTGGTAGTAGAAGCATTTGTATCAGGTGTGGATCCAGAGTTCACCCTGACTGTCGCATAGATGGGTTCATGGAGACGGGTCCGCAGTGGCTCACATAATCTAGGGGTTTGAAAAAGATATTATGCTATTAATGTCATTTCTGTTAAAAAGAAATGTATTAACTGAATATTTGCAAGTTGAAACTCACATGATGATCCAGCACTGCTAGGCCTACAATACTTTTTGAATTTTTATCCCTCACCCAGACCTTCGCCACGGCGAACATGCAAAAGTCTGGATTTACGCCTGTGTATGGCCATTTTCCTTGGCTTGACATTTGCCATCCAATTATAAGACTGGTGGCCATAGAGCCTTTCTGTTGTAACCTTATTCGTTCGTATAAATTCCGTAATTGCTGAATACTACACAGGAAGGTCCATTACCTCTAGCAAGCTAATGGTGTACTACTATCCTGTACTATAAGACATTGTTCTTGGGGAAAATCAAAATCTTTACATGTATTGATGATGTATGTGGTTGATACAGTCGAGTCCGCCAAAGTCGACTCTGTTTAAGTCGAAAATTCGCGTCAGTCGAATTTTTGAAAAAGTCCCAATTCTTTCCTATGTATTACTGTGTAAATTGTTTGTTTAATTTGAATTTTTGTAAGTCGAATTTCGGCTATATCAACGGAATTTTCCGGTCCAGATAGGTTGATTTTAAAGTAATTTCAACCACACAAGTCAAAGTTCCGAACTTTGTAGCGCACGTGGGAAAATACAAAGTTCAATCCTTGTTGTACGGCAACAAGTTAGCCAAGTCAAAACTAACACAGCGCGATGGGGAACTTGGTTCACACGATCGTATGTCGTAAATTGCAGTCTACTCTCACAATACAGACACCCCTCCGGACCGGCTCCAATGTTCAGTTTGTCGTCCAGTTCAGTTTATAGAACTTGTATTGAACCCATTATGAACAAGATTGTTGTAGTCTGGGCCTAGCTATTTAATTATTTTATCAAAGCCCTGGATTCTTTTGACTAGGCCTAGCCTAGCCTACGCAAATTCAACACATTATTTAATAATACGTACAGTACCTGTTGTTTTGCTGTGCTGCTCAAATTTAATTATTACCAATAAAGTTGATACGATTTTTATATTGTTTTTGCGTGCATTTCTTTAGGTCTGATTATGTTTTTCCAAGCACACATTCTTCGTTGGGCAATGCCACTTGCTGGTCAGTAGTCTAATTGTAAACAGAATAGGTCGGGCCCTCAAAAACTCTGTCTGCCCGCCAATTGGTCCATTTTCGTGGGGTGTTTTGCACTAGACATAGACGTCATCTATTGATTGGTGCCAGCAGTCTCAACATATAGTCATTAAGATCAATCCATTGTGCCTGTGTCGTGGCGTTGCGTTCTCTATAAAAGCGAATCAGCCAACAACTATCAGGT